TGCCACCCCAATGTCCCCACTGGCCCCTCTCCGCAGGCGGGTACCTGGCGCACAGCCTGGCCATCCTGACGGACGCAGCCCACCTCCTGACGGACTTCGCCAGCATCATGATCAGCCTTTTTGCACTCTGGGTGTCCTCACGCCCCCCCACCAAAACCATGAACTTCGGCTGGCACCGGGCAGGTAACGGGGTGGCACAAACCCCGGGGCTGCTGTCTCGGGACCCCAGGGAGCACTCAGAGCATCCCAGGGTGTCCTCCCTATGGGGACCAGGTGCCTTGGGGAGCCCTGGGGGGCACTGGGAGCCCTGGCAAAGCCCCAGCACCATGTGTACAGGTGGGGCAGGGCAGAGGCACCGCCGTCCCCTTGCAAGGAGCAACTCCAGGGGTGGGTGCTGGATGCCCACCCTGAGCCCTGCTGCTGCTTTTTTTGAGGGTGCTCAGGCTTCACATGGTGGTGAAGTGGCAATGTGGGGTGTGGGGGGGGGCTCTCCGCAGAGATCCTGGGGGCCCTGCTCTCCGTGCTCTCCATCTGGGTGGTGACGGGTGTCCTGGTCTACCTGGCGGCTCAGCGCCTGCTCTCGGACGACTACGACATCGAGGGTGGCGTCATGCTCATCACCTCTGCCTGCGCCGTGGCCGTCAACATTGTGTACGTACGGCTGGCTCTTGCTCTCCCCGGGTGTCCCCAACCCCGTGCCCAGTGGCCCCCGGGGATGTTACCGCTTCCCTGCCCGCAGGATGGGGGTGGCTCTGCACCAGACGGGGCACGGACACAGCCATGGGGCGGCTGGTGAGCAGCCCAACGCCAGCGTCCGCGCTGCCTTTGTCCACGTCGTGGGGGATCTGCTGCAGAGCGTAGGCGTCCTCATCGCATCCTACATCATCTTCTTTAAGGTCTGGGTGGTCACAGGGGCAAAGGGGATGGCGGGGATGGGGACACAGGGACAGCGGCTTCAGCCAGCCCTGGCCAGGCACAGGGGCAAGACAGAGGGGACCGTGTCCCCTCCCCACTGGTGCCGATGGGGATTCGGGGTGGGGTGACGGTGTCAGAAGGGCCTCACCCTCTCCCACTCCCTCCAGCCCCAGTACAAGTACGTGGATCCCATCTGCACCTTCCTCTTCTCCGCGCTGGTTCTGGGGACGACGCTGTCGATCCTCCGCGACGTCCTCCTCGTCCTCATGGAGGGTAGGGACCCACCGGGGGTGGCGGGTCTGGGCTGCAGACCCACCCACAGCTGCGGTGGGCCCCATCCCTCCAGCGCCTGCGGCTCTCCCTCCCCAGGCACCCCAAAAGGGATGGATTTCAACGCCGTACGGGAGAC